AGAGCTCAAGTGTGCTATGTATTAAGACGTAACACTGAAAAATCGTCCAGGCACATCGAAGAGGGTGCTAACTTAGTTAGGTTGGGCCACGCGGCTGCGCGGTGTTTGTTCGTCTGTTCCTCCAAAAGCTTAGTCCCCGATGGCGCGTATTTCGAAACTGCCACGTGATGGCGAAATAGTAACTGCTCCTTGGACTAAGCCTTGGAGGAGCAGACGAACAGAGCGCCGCGTGGTCCTCCCCTCCCCCAACTGAGTTAGCACCTCGAAGAGGTAGTAGCTTTCACTGACCATTGAAATCTTCTTGATTCTGCGCATTTCATAGGTGCCTTCATACTTTTAAACACGTTGTAGGTGTGAACTAATACTTGATTAATGTGGATTTTTGTTTAGTTATTCCGACATGGCGCTCGAGCTCCTGTGGATATTGGCAGGAACGCGACAACTGAAGCACTATTCCCAAATGGTGCTGGACAGCTGACACAAGTCAGTGAATTTATCTATTTATAAAATTTGATAACTGCGACCACTAGCAGTATTCTCGCGTATCACTTACACCACAGCAAGTTCTACGCAAGCTTTATCTTCTTTTTTTAAATAACAGATCGGAATAGATGACACTTTCTTGTTGGGACAGTTCCTGGGTAAGCGGTACGTACAGTCGGGATTCCTGAAATCACCTCCTTTACCATCACAGGTACCAAGAGCTCCTGAAAATAACATCGTGCCTTCGGAACCTTCTGAGAACTTCTTCATTTTCAGTTTTACTTCAAAAGCAAAGCCAATGATCGCTGCCTTATGAGCGGCGCGTTGGTTGCTTCAGGTATGTGGGCTAATCCAGATGACCTCCGGTTTACTGCAGTGCCCATCTTCAGCCAGGAGAAGAACGATCGTGTGCGTTGTCTTTCCTAATTTTCACTGACAGCGCCTTTATGAAGCTTCTTAAGATCCTAACCCATTTGCAAAATTGTGAACTGGAGGCGAAGCGGTTATCTGACCGATGTGGACTGACACCACCTAGCCCAAAGGAGGTGAGCTTTCTGTTCGATAGGGTTGAGCTGGCCAAAGCGCATCCTTCGATCAAATTGCATGAACGTCACTCTTCAAAGAAAAGTGGACGGTATGCGACAATGGCGGCCAGTAAACTTTTACGCGACTTATGGTCAAGCATTCCTCAATGCTTGCAAACTGTAAACTTTCATGGTTACCGATCTTGCACTACTGCTAGCCAAACCGATAGGGCACCTTCTTCCCCACAGAGCCCCTCTGTCGTAATTGCTGCTTTTCTGTTGCCGATGAATCCTGCCACAGTGATATACGTGGCTTTGACGGAACCATCAGTATGGGTGCGTAACGCCTGCAAAGCCACGCATCAGATATCTTCACGTTGAGAAGAGTGCAACTTCGGTCCGTACTGTCAAACATAGGGTGCACGTACACTCCATATCTTAAAGATAGGGAAGAGGGATCCCAGTCGAAGCTGGAAGAATTACGGGAGTTTGTCGTCAAAGACCTGTCCATTGAGTGACCTATTCGATACCAACGTGGTACGAGGGCACCATTGAGTTGTCAATGCCGTGCGGTTCCATTTCTTTCCACCACCTTACTTTGACCCACGCATACTTGCAATTTGAACGTGGTCATATTTGAAAAATCGTTTGAAGGAGCTTTTGACGCAATAAACGGCCGCTTCTGTTTTCACCTGTCGCACTTCTCTGCCACAGCTGCTGTTTATTTCCGGCAGGACCCTCTACGACGTACAGCCATTACAGGGCCCCGTACCATAAAGTAACTCCGAAGAAAATCACTCCTTGCTTGTGGGAACCTACGGAGGAGTCTATGAGGTCGATACATTCGTTCGCTGACCATTACAAATAAGCCATCGCCAGGCTACCATGGGCTCGTGACCACTTGGCAACTAGCAGTTCAGACCAGATTTCTACCACCACAGATGGAAAAAGTGCACACAATTTCTGTAGTGCAGAAGCACATTAATTTTTTTGTTACTCGTTCGTTTTGGTTACTCTTTTCGATACCGGTCACCTGCTGACTGTAGTCCTAGCTTTAGCAATGATTCTCCGGCCTAGTGGCGCATAAATTTTGATTTTAAATAAAGGACAGTAGTGGAAGGCACATATAGGCACATATAATTATGTATACAAGTGATCGCATTTCAGTGGTCTCTTTACGAAGGCTTCGTATTCGAATGTATTGGACTCAAGAAAACAACTAAGCTATTCAAGAATGCAAAAGATTTTTCTCGAGTAGACGGTTTAGTCCAGCAGGTTGGAACTAATTTCAGTGGAACACTTTCGCATTCTTGTTCCATCAATGTTTTGCAATTCAGGACCGGAACTTTATGGCGATGACACCATGGTTCGAAAAACATCGTGATGAAATATATGACCTCTATCAAAAAGTGAGTCTGGGCAGCACGTGACTGGTCCAGGCGTCCTGGAGATTTTTCTGGATTCCACTACCTCACCGCTCCCTCACACACGTGTTGTTCATTGAGGGGAGCGATGAAAGATAATTTTATCAGATACGAAAGTGTAGGGGAAATGCTGCAGTGAAGAAAAAGAAACTGACAAAACCCGTGGAAAGGGGGCGCGCACTATTACCAGTTGATTTGACAAGTTCGCGTATCATGTTGGAGTAGGATACTCCATCAAAAGATACCACACAACAAGATTCGATCACATCTCTGTTGCAAAAGAAGCGCGCTTTGGAGCAAAATAGAAGGCAAATGATAATAATGAACGTGAAGGAGATCTAACACAGAGGTGGGCTCAGTGAAGGAGCGGGGGCTTGAGGTGTGCAGCCCAACTACACTGCCTAAAATAATGAAAGTTCCACCGACCAACTTCCCGAAAATTTGCATTTGAAGATGTTTTCGAAAGTGGCTCTCGAGAAGAATTGTAATGCATATAAACACAGTTCTAGATATCAACACAAAATTCCGGTTAGAGGGACCAACAATTTTTTAATTTTATTTTTTTGAAAATACTCGCAAGATCATGCTACCACCACATGTTCCTCAGCTGCATTTTATTTTTACCCGAGTTCTACCCAAGTGGACTTGTAGCAACGCAGCTGAGACCATCCTGCGATGTGCCAAGGAGGTACTGGGGAGACGCGAGGTGGAATCAGGAGAACAAGGAAGTTAAGCGAATAGTCAAAAAGAAAAGAGAGGCTACAAAAGAAGCAAGAGGCTCGCTAAGGCTGCTGTCGCCAAGGCGAAGAACACGGAAATGGACGCCTTGTACGAGAAGTTGGAAAGCAGAAACGCAGAGAAGTTCGTCTTCAGGCTGGCTAAGGCCCGGCATCGGCTACCAAGACATCAGGGTGGTGAAGAAGTGTAAAAGGCAGCGATGGTGTCATCCTAAGGAAGCCAGCCGAAGTCAAGAGGAGGTGGGAAGAGTACTTCAGAGGGCTTCTGAACGAGGAGTTCCCCACAAGAACAACTCACGGGCAGAGGCTACAGCTGGTCCCATCGCACTTGGAGAGGATGAGGTTGAAAAGGCCGTCCAGATGGGTGCCAATCGAGGCATGGAAGGCGCTCGGAGAGTACGGCATAAGGTGGCTCACCAGCTTCCTGAACAAGGTAACAGTGGAAGGAAAGATGCCGGATGCATGGAGAACAAGTACCATCGTCCCCATCTTCAAACAGAAGGGTGACGCGATGGACTGCTCCAACTACCGCGGGATCAAGTTGACTGCGCATACCATGAAGTTGTACGAGCGGCTGGTCGACTCGAAGCTGCGGGAGCTGGTCCCGATCTCCCAGGAACAGTTCGGGTTCAATGCCCGAAAGCAAGACAACGGATCTTCATCAGACAGACAAGTGCATGGAAAAAGTATAGAGAAAAGCCGCCGACCCTGCCTACCCTAACTTTCTCTCAGACCTGAGAAGGTGCTCGACGTTCTACGCGAGCAGTACGATGGATTTACGCTCAAGGAAAGAGCAAACGTGCAAGGACACCAGCCTTGGATAAAACTTGGACGTAAGCGAGCCAACAGCGTCCACGTAAGCACACCTCACGGGCCTAAACAAAGACAGATGAGCATTCCGCGGTTGGGTGCACCAAGGATCAGCTCTGAGCCCGTTCCTCTACCTCCTAACACTAGATATCGTTGTGAAGGGGCTAATGGAGAGACCCCTAAAGACCATCCTCCACACCGACGACATCGGCCATCGCCCGTAGCGGACAACATAGAGGAACTTAAGTCAAGATGCAGAAATGGAAGAAAGTCCTGGCAAAAGTGGGCTTCGGTTGAATCTAAGGAAGACCAAGATCCTGACCCCCGAAGAGGATGCAGAGCCGGTCGTGGACGGCCATCGTGAGATCACGAAAGAATAAAGCACTTCCGCTACCTTGGGAGCGATCTGGCAGCCGACGGTAGTGTGGATCAGGCGGTGAAGGCTCGGGTCAACGCTGCATGGATGAAATGGAGGGAGTCCACTGGAATCCTCTGCGATCGAAGGTGCTCCAGAGCGCTCAAAGGGAAAGGTGTACCGGACAGTGGTAAGGCCTGCGATGCTATACGGCAGCGCAGCGAGTTAGCCTAAAAACAAAACCATCGGAAGGCAGATCCACTTCCTGAAATTGAGGGATTACTGAGGTGGGCTGCGGCTGCGCGGTGGCTAGGTCAGAAATGAGCTCAGAGTGCGGTCAATGCCAGACTGGCCTCTGGATCAGCTGAAAGCGCGGGAACAAGCGAGTCTACGATGGTATGGGCATGTCATAAGAGAGGACCCACAGGCACTCATCGAAAGACCGGATGGACTTCAAGGAAGTGCGGAGGCATAGCGCACCGCGGAGGTGAGCGCCCCAAAGAAAAGTGCGAGAGCGTGATTCAAGAAAGGCATCTAAGTGAAAGCCAGTGGCCACAGCAGGGCGACCCTGGACAGATCAAAGTGTCGACGTGGACAAAAACAACATCCCTTAGGACATGTCAAGCGGGGACGAAAACGCTAGGGATAAGAAACAGTTCTGGTGTTGATGACAGCCTACGGTCCGCTTTCCTTCCAAGCAGCCGCCGCCAAAAGGCTGGTTTGTTAACCCAAGGGAATGAGCTCGCGTAGTAGAGTATACGTTTGTCTCGAAATTCATGCGCCGACTTCGCATGCAAACGATGGAAAGGCTGCCAATTATAGTATTATCGTAGAAGATCAGGACGGGAAACATTAGGTTGTCGGGAGTCAGTAACAGTTGAGGAACGCTGTCGGATGAGGTCAACGGTCATACAACACTACTCCTACGTGCCTGCTGCTGACGGTTTCTATGCTTTTTTCGCCACAGTGCATTATACTGCATCCCCGCTTCTACTTCAGAGCCAGTTCAATCTTACCGTAATCCCATGGATTAGTGGAGAATCGTTCCTCTTTTGGTTGAGTTTGTAAAGGAAGTACTCCTGAAAGTCTCCAAGAATGCCAGAATCGGCCACAAAAGGCATTCCTTGACATTTACAATGTGAAACTGCCCTTCTTTCAGACTTACAACTTCATCGTCGGAGTGAGCTATTATCATGATAAGGAGAAACTGCAATTAAAACAGGGTCTACTAATGAAGCAGATTCTTGCTATACTCAAGAAACGATGGAAGGATTGGGATAAAAATCTCGAAATTCCAAATCCGAAATTTATTGCTTACTCAACGGTATCAATGTGGTAGATTGGATTCCCTGATATAATTCTCTTCACACTATTTATTTTTAGCAAGACTGGATGGTGATGGCCTTCCTAGATGCCCTTGGATGTGGTAAACCAGCTCTCAGCGGTACAATACCGGGTTACAATTCTTTGGTGGTGATCGAATTGGTTGATCGTGATGGTGATCCTTTCATTTGGGTAGGTCACACATTTTACACCTCAATCTCTTATGAAATGGAAGAGCCTGAATTGGTCAAAAGCGCGTTCTGACTAAGGCGAAGAAGTCGAAACGTAAACCTTATAAAAAGCACAATCATGAAAGGCTTGCAGAAATTGCAGAATCATTCCTATTGAACGAGTCAAAACTAATTTTTTTCACAACATATCAAGTGTTCTCGGATATTTTCAGGTTTACTTCAAAGACAACAGCATGGATTCTCTTAAAGACCTCACAAAAGCTGTACGTGGATGCAATAGTTCGCCTTGTCCTCTTGAAAAGTTTTTGAAATGTTGCAATGACTACGTGACGGATGACCCGAAACAAGTCTGTGGCCAACAGTCATAATCGCTTTTCCGCTTTGTTTGTAACAAACTACAACCTCCATTTCAACTCTTATTATAGTTTTAAATAAACGATTCTGACGTAGTCGTTCGAGTGCGGGAGAAATAGTCCACATATTATCCACATTGGATTCAGGTGGTCATGTGTGTGGATTCCGGGGCGTGTAAGGTTGACGACAGTGCCCATCCCGCTACTTTTCAGTGCAAAACGTTTGCACTCTACCTCGCTGCTCACGCGTTCGGTATGCAACAAGTATTGGTGCTATTTTTCCTGAAGAGATGTAATTCGGCCGAAATGGTATTTCTAGTAATCCCGGGATTTTCTATAAGAGC